TTATAAGACGGCGGGCTTACTTTGACATAGCTTAAATTCAGTTGAGGTGCTGTATGCTGAGAAGGGCCCAGATTCCCCGCCAGTGACTGCACAGAGGCTTGCAGAGAAGTGACCACAAGAGGGAATTACACCATTTTATGATCTCAGCTGCAACTAAAGACGGTCTAACCTTCCAATGCCCACAAGTCGTGACATCAGGGCTGCTTCTACAAGGGCACCTTGCAATCATCAGGCTTCTTTGGGTGGAGGAACCATGGGAAAAACAGAGCTTGTTAAACAAGTGAAAGAGACAGAGAGCTGCAAAAACCCAGAGTCACATAAATATCTCTGTTCATCGTGCTACAGCAGACACAGAAAGAATCAGAGCTTGCTATAGCATGTGGTCCATTGGTATCTTTGGTGGAAGTGGTTACTGCTATTGTTAGCTTTGCTGGAAATAGTGCTTATTCATGCTAGGCTTGAACTTGAAATAAATAGTCCTGGCCTGAGTCTGCTCTTGGATCTTTGATATAATGATACTTTGGAAATGAGAGGGGAATGAAGCCAACCCAAAGGGTGGAGCAGATATCACCGATGATTTTTGCGTTTATTGAGAGATCAAGCCTAGGAAATTGTTTTTTTCCCACATGGCTACTTAAAGGTCTCCTTCGGAGACGGTTCTCATTAATGCCTAAGAGGCTTCAGTGCTGTAGGTGGATATGAAATAACAGCAGAGCATCTGTTAGTAGGTCTCAAAATACCTTACGCTTTGACATAATAATTACTGCTAAAGCTGAACAGGGATTCGGTATGTTAAAATTCAGGAAAATAAATTAAAAGGAGCTTCAGCTAGGGGAGAGGCTGAACTGCACTGACTTCCAGGCTGTGCCCCAAGTAACTGGTCATTAGAGAACTTGACTTTGGCCAGATTGCTTCAGGAGACATCTGGTATTTAAATGGAGGTGCTCTTTATTCTCAGAAGACTGCTAGAAAAAGAGGATCAGCCTGTCCCATGTCATGCCTATTACCTCTCATAGATGAGACCACATTCCTGTACAGAACCTGAACTTCTCATGAAGTACCTTGAAACCTTGAATGTGTTTTAAACACAGCCTTAAAATTGAGCGCTTCCCTATGCCTGCTAATATTGATGTTCCCCAGATCAAGCACTGATCTCTCCAGCTGAAAGGAGCTGCTGTTGGCTCTAGGTGGGAGTGGAAAGCAGGAAGCTACAAAACTCAAGTAATGAGACTAAAATGTGTCACCAGATGGAGGAGTTCTTAAGAGCAACAAACTGAAATAAAAGCCAAAGGTTAAATAAGCATGGGGAAAAAAAAGAAACAGTCATCAAGGGGCTTTTTAGTAGCTTTTATCGCTGTATCACTCAAAACCTTCACCTGCTGCTGAGGAGCACCAGATACTGTTATTTAGCATATGGGCACCACCCTCTGAATTGGGTCCTGGTGGGGCTGATCCTACTAATGAAGGTCATAAAGTGTAAGGGAAGGTGTTTTATTGAAGAATTTTCAGTAACTTTGAATTGAATATATCTGGGGGTTTTTTGTTGTTATTTTTTTTCCTCCCTTCTCCAGAGCCCAGGTAGGTGCAGGCTTTTGGCTTTTCTGTTGTTCTTGGAAGTATTCTGTGCCTTTTAGGTTTGAGGTTAGGTAATAATACTTGAGTACAGAGCAAGAAATATCAGGCTATTGGTCTAGCTAACTGCATTTAAAGCAAAAGAATACCCAAACTTGTTAAAACTGAGAGTGAAGTATTGAAGGAGGTGTTGTTTAATGATAAGTAAATAAATGAAAAAAAAAAAGAGAGAGAATTCTTTTGGAGGGCAAGAGCACCCCAAAGAACAGTATGAATTCCTCAGAGTATCCATATTGAAAGACTCTCTACAGCCAGTATGCAAAACTCTCTCTGTTGCTATTATTAGTCAAACAATAGAGTAATATGGAATAATTAAGAGTGTTTACAGATAATTTAGGTCTGGGGGAAAAGAAAAAAGGACGTTCTGACTTACTTGTGTTAGGTTCTGTTGGCATCCAAGTAGAGGCTAAAAATAACTCTGATTGATCGAACTGTCTAGTTATGAAGCTTAAATAAGTAAGCAGAGAGGCTATCTCCTGATGCTGTGGTGTGCATTGCCCAGGGTGCTACCTCTGTAGGGTATGGAGCATGGCTAGTAGGCTTGGATCTTGTTACCCTGTGGTCTAGCTATGAGGTGGACTCCCAGGACATGGCATGGGAAGTGGACCAAAATGATTTTTTCCATAGCAATCCTTCTCAAAAAGGTGCTTGGGAGAAGGTGCAGCGAGCTGCTTGCAATGGGGTGGAGGGATGGGAACCGGGATTATCTGGCCTGACTTTGTCTGGCTCTCAGCAATTCCGCCTTGCCAGTGTTTGCTGCGGGATGCAAATCAAGAAAAATGAGGGACGCTTCCAAGTTACTGACCCTCGCGCAGTGATTCCACCTGGCATTCAGCCACCTTGGTTGTTTACATTCGATGCCTCTTACGAATCCCCAATTTCCGATTAAGGAGAAATCTTTTTCTAGAGGTTTACTTAATTTTTCACTTCAAAGTCAATCTTTAAAAACCTCTCTGCCATTATCAAGCCTGCAATGGTTTCATCCTAATCCCTCTTATGCTCTCCATTCTTATCCTTTGCTTAGGGAAAATGATTAAAAAAGGGGAAAAAAAAAAACTCTGACACAGAACTCGGATCCAATGCTGCAAGATAAGCTGTTGCAAAATAAAATGATGAATTTCAATTTAAAGCATTAGTTAATATTGCCATTTTTATAGATATATTTTGCTACTGTAGATTGAACAAAGTATATTAGCTAGAAGGCTTCTTAAATACTGTTTTTGTTTATTTTTTTTTAAAGTTTTCTGCATTCTAAGTTTCCACTCTTAAGCGTGCTGTTTTGGCCGTGCCTAGGGTGAAACAAAGCTTCTGTGAGCATGCACAGGACATCGTGTAGCAGAGTGCTGCGCATGTGGACCGGGATATGCTCATTAATACCGTGTCCCCTGCTATTGCCTGCTTGGGAAGAGCAGGAGGGCAATAACAACCCAGGGAGCAGCAGTTCAGCTCTCTGCAACTTTCCTTCCCCTCCTATTTCCCTTTTTCTTGCTGGGCATTAACCTGAAATCAGTGTCTGCAGATAACCCGTGGCCAAAGCCATTAGCTGCCCATTAGTACCGTTGGGGAGCAGGGCTATGGGATCCTGGCTGCTTTTTGCCAGCCTGGGGACCGCGTCTCACAGCTTGGGCTTGAGCTCCAGCCATCAAATCACTTCCATTAGCTGGACTCCTGCTGCAAAATGTAGCGTGCGTGTGGTGCTGTGTCACAGATACAGGCAGCAAATAGTGTGGGTCTTATCTAGCAGGGCTGAAAACCTTTATTTGAAATTAAAGCTCAGCCACGGCACGCGCTAACAAGCCTATGTGTGTGTATAGGAAGCCTGGGATGCCTTCTGTTGCTGGAATTTGCTCCACGGATTACTGTGCAACCTGTTGTATAGCTCAGTGGGAAATACCCCTATCCCACAAAACCTGCTGAGCTCCCAAAATGTTCCTGCATCAGGACTCCATTAGAGCTTGGGGGAATACTTGGAGGGGAGCAGAAAGACTGAAGCTCAGAGGTCAAGATGAGCAGATACTTGCTTGTTTTGGTGTGACACCTGGGATCAAGTGCATTATGACCCTGTTGGCAAGGACTTTAGGTCTGCACGATGCAAAATGCCCACCGCAGGACGTAAGCTGGCTTTGCTGGGGCAGGACGTGCAGCTTTTTTCCCCCTGTTTCAATGACTGTTCACCAAAACGAAATGCCCAGAGCTTGAGTATTAATGTTAAGGGCTTTCAAAATCAGGCAGGGGAAATTAAGCTTAAAGTCCTCGAGTTAGAGGTCTTTACTACATCCACCACGAGTAACTGCTCTGGTCTACATCCACCAAGAGCTCTAGTGTAACTGCTTTGGTGGGAGATATCGAGTTGTACGTCGTGGGTGCGTGAGTCCTATAGTGCAAGGATTTTTCTACATCTAATTCCTGGACAGTTTGTGTTGCACATTTCTGATTTTGATCAGAAATTTCATCCTGGACTGGAAACATCTTTTCTCAGGAAAATTTTGTCAGAATCAATACGCTGCTATCATTTGGATGAATTTTAAGTGTCTGAGGCTTTTTAGAAAGTGTCATCAAAAAATTCCCAGCCTGATGCTAATGAGAGCTGAATCGCTATTCTCAAAGCGTGAAATTGCCAGTGATATCTTAAGCCTGAGAATGATACACATATAGCAAGAGAAAACGGGTGCCTGCTTAGTTTGAGAGGGATGGTGTGTTTCAGAGCATCAACGTGTTTTGCTGACACTTTGCACTTAACATGTCATTATTCATTAATGGCACAAGGAGGTGCATTTCCAAGTCAGATGCCCTTTCTCTTCTTTGGTGTGAAATCTGCTGGTTCCTTCCCTGCAACTGGTTCCTTCCCTGCTTTGTGTTTTTCCCCAATAACCCCTGGAAAGTGTTTGCTTCCATTTTGGTCGCTGGAGGCAAAATGATATCCCGGCACTCCAAAAGGAGAAGAGAAGGGGGGGGGAAAAGACTGACCTACGTGCTCTGCTCCTTCATTATTCCATAGTGCATGGGAAGTCATCTCTTTACACGATTGACCTGTCTGGATTTGATTACAGCGCACGGCTAACCTTTTCCCAATCTGGTAGTGTCATACAAGAAAAGGGTTGAAGGCTGTTGCCATGGTATTAAGGTAGCTCTTGAGAAAGAAAAGAGGGGGGTGAAGAGGAAGGAAATGATGCCTCTTTACTTCCCAGCCAAGTATAAACAAGAGACACGGGCACATGTTCTTGTTTTGGAAGCGCTTTCACTGTCTTATCCAGCTCATCTATCACTGCATTTCCTAGGGAAGAGGAGAAGGGATTGTCTGCTCTGCAGATCAGTGTCTGCTCAGTGGCTGAGGAAGCGGAGAGGGGGGGAGATGAGATGACAATTGGAGGAAAAAAAGAATAAATCAGTCTTGCCACCATTCATGATTTATTCATGAGACACGTGAGTTTTGCATTTAAATGTGACATTCTCATGATCTCAATATTGTATATGCAAATCTAAAGATTTCTGCGTCTCTTCACATGCCCAGCTTAAGTCTCTGCTCAGATCCACAGTTCTGTAAATGCAAAACTGGCAAGGCTTGCCTGGCTCCAGTTTGCTCTCCGGTTATTCTACAATGGGAAGATTGCAAGCAACACTGAACTGCCCTTAATATCAGAGGTATAATTCAAGTATTATTTTTTTAATGATAATTTCCTGACTTACTGTAAGAGTTCACTGTGTGTAGATATACTCATGATTCAGCTTTCTGAGATCTTATCTCTGCTGAGACCCCCCCAGGGATCACTCTAGGCAGCATGTTGGGTTTAAAACAGTAGATGCTGTGCAGCTTCCACATACAAAGATTTTTATACCTAGAACCATGCCTTTTTCAACACTTCCAACCCAAATGGTTGAGCTGCCTTTAAGCAAGGAGGGGAATGATTTCTCGAGTCCGGTGGGTTTAAAATTTAAAAAGTGGAGATGTGGTTATGTATGTAGGGTGGATCAAAACAAACCGATGTAGTAAATAAACTGATGTGGAGATCACTGACTTCCTCTCCCATTTGTTCCTGACTGGGAGATGCAGCCTGACGGACCTTAGCAAGCCTAAGCTTATGTTGCTAGCTCTGGGTTCCACTTCTGGGCCACTCAGCAAAATGAGAGGCATGAAGACATGACTTTGCAAAGTAATGCAAGCTCCTCTCTTCGTTAGACCAATATATACAAACTCATGCACAGGCGAGACCTTTGGCCCAGCGTTTGCAGCAGTGACTTGTGCAGGCAAAGCGCAGCTCTTCAGGCTCTGCCTCGTCTCTGCGACTGGAATGCAGCGCCTTGAATTATAGGCTCATGTTGCTACTTAGCGAATAAATCCAGGAATAAATAGCTCTTGCACATTATTGGGTCAGATCTCAGTAGTGTAATGCAAGTGTTCCTCAAATACCTTATCAACAAACAGCCAAAGAGAGCAATAATTACATTATCTGTAGTTTTTGTAGTACTTATTCACATTTAACACTCAAGCTCGTGCTTTCTTGTTGGTCTGGACCTAGATTCACTGAGGTTGAGACTGGAGTTCAGTTCCTGGGGCTACAGCCCCAAGTTCATGATATTCTTATGGGCAGGTTTCATGATTTTTAAAACCATCTTTAAAAATATGAATGTTTTCATGTTTTTAAATATTTTGTATCCATCTCGCCTAGTATCCAGTCTCCGACAGTGACAACCTGTGACTGCATGAGGAGAGTGTAGGAGAAAAAAAAGCATGCACAAAACGACTCTTTCCCAGGAGAGGACCTTGGATTTAGCAAACACAAAGGTAGGGACTTCCTGATCTAAAGGGTGGGTTCAGATCATCACAAGTAATTGTTTTTGAGAATACCTCCCTTTTAAACCCACTTGTACATTTGGCTTCCACAGCATCCTAGGGCAGCAAATTCCATGATGTAATTTTCTGTGGATGGGAAAAGTACCATTTTTTCCATGATTTCATTCAAGTCCCTCTGGTTTTCCCATTACAAGATATAATAAATGGTTTTCCCTGAGTGCCTTCCTGTGTGCTGCTTGTGATTTTAAAGACCCCCACCACAATTTCTTCTAGAGCCTCTTACCTTACAAGCCATAAATATCCTGTTTTTCCTTAGCCTGTTAGCGATTCCTCCTGTGGAAGTAGCTCACAACTCTGCAAAGCCTTCAAAACTGTCTAGAAAAATATTGTACATAACTTCTCTGGGAGAAGGTCATTAGGACTGCTTGCAATATTTAAGAAAATGGCACAGCAAAAATTTATCCCCTGGCAAAATGACGTTTTCTGGTTTTAGTCTTTACTTATCATCTGATAATTGCTGACGGTGTCTTTGTTTTGGCCATTGCTGGGCACTGAACTGACATTTTCAAAGAATTACCTGCGCGGCTCACGTCTTTCCCATGCGACGAGCACTGCTTCAGAGCCACCACGGTGCATGGAGGCCTCTCGTTGCTGCTCTCATTTGCAATAATTAGCATTTCTTGCTGCTGAATTCCATCTGCCAGCGTATCTTTTGCAGTTTCCTTGGTGGCTGTTCCGCAAGATTTTACCTCCATCAACAAAACTGGGCTAAGAAATGAACATTTTGGAGTTTGGCTCTAGCCGAGGCTGTTGGGAATGCTCTCTATCTCCTGCAGATGTTCTCGCTGGGTTACTTGTCTCCTTTTCCAGACTATGGTTGAAAGCACAGGTCCCAACCAGTGGACCCCATAAAGCTCTGTTGGCCTAAGGGAGACCATCCCCCTACTTCTGCCCTTGGTGTCCCTATCACAACTAGATACCAAACCCTATGAGGAATCTCATAGAAAGTGGCTCTGGACCTGCAGCTCTGCATGTTTGTCCCTCCACTGCCTTCAGAGGTTTGCATTCAGCTGAATTGACAGGGAAAACTAGTTGCTGTCCCCCATTTTCCTCCCCAAAAATGAAAGATTACAGACTTTGCAGATGTTTTTCTGCCATTTTTACATCCTCTTTTGCCATGGTGAAAAGTTGATACTGATACAGGCACCTGATTCAGACAAGGGAAAAAAAACATCTCATAGAGGTGACATAATTTAAGGAGATGTTGTCAGCTCATTTTAGTCCCAGCGTGAAATTGGAGAGGAACAAACACTTTCTTGCAGGAAAACAAAAAGCAACCATGATAAATTCGAAGAAGATTGAGATGCTGGATTTTCTTTGTTTATTTTGAACATGGGCTTAGCAGCCAGTGTTTGCAGCCAGGCTCATTGGCACTGAAGCAAAGGGGCCTCCAAGTCCAACAGTGCTGCCCTTGCTCTTGCACAGGGCAATGGAGCCGCATCCCTCCTTGGTGTTTGTAAGAAAGCAGGAACCTCTATGCTGAAGGATGCTCAGAAATACTAAAGTGGGCAATGGAAAACAGAATAAGCGAGGTGAGTGCTCTGGAGACTCAGACTAATATATATATATATTTTTTTTTTGTTATGCATTCATTCTTCATTGGTGTATGGAGAAGGCTTCTCTGTCGCTTTCAGATCTCTAACATTGCAGCTGCACCTTCAAATCCAGCATCATTAGATGCTCTTGGGGCTGCCTCTTCGAAGAAAAGGGAACGATGCAGAGCTATTGCACGTGCACAGACCTGATGTCTAGTTGTGCTGTGTGAGTGGGTTTTATCCTGCTAAAGTCTCCTCGTGCATCTATTCGTGTCCAGCAAGCAGGGGACAGGTTCCCTTGCAGACCCTGCTCTGGGAACGCGGCCCCTGGGAATGTAATCAATGTTGCACAGAGCTGCTGAAACCAAAAACAAAGCCAGAATGGGTCATTGTGCTAAATTTGGGTCCTTCCATTGTTCATTGAATTGCACCAGTGTTTTCTTTAGTTGCACAGTCAGCTGGCAAAGTTTTGTTTGCAGCCTGGAGAGCCCCCCTCTCTGGGAAAACACATGATTCTGGGAGAGGTGGGCTCTGTTTGGCGTCTCTGGGCTTTGTCTCACATGGCTGGGGGTAGAGATAGGGCAGAGGGCAGTTAGGTGCACTGGAGGCAACAGCCAACCCTGGATCCATGGGCAAAAACTGCAATGCTTCCACTGGAAAATTTTTTATATTTTTTATATTTTTTATATTTTTTATATTTTTTATATTTTTTATATTTTTTATATTTTTTATATTTTTTATATTTTTTATATTTT